ATTTTTCCGAAATATTTTGGTGGACGTCTTAAAATATAATAGATTTTGTAATGCCGGCGGAAAAACCGCAATTTTTTTTGGTTGTTGTTGTTGTTGTAGCGGCTACAACAACCCCGCCCAGGAAGGTTGGTATCTCAGTCGTTGTCGTCAAGTTCCACTAACGGCAACCCTAGGAAGCGTGCAGCTTCTGTGGGGTTTGTCCACAGGGACAAGGCCGTTAGGGTTGTCGGGTTTTCCGGGCATGCGAAGAGATGTTTCGAGTCATGTGGGGTCTCTCCGCATGCCGGACACTCATTCGGCACATCCTCATTCAACCTACTCAGGTAGGAGTTCAACCTGCTGCAGTAGCCGGAGCGAAGTTGTGCAAGTGTTGTGCGTGTCTCCCGAGACAGATGAAGCTCCGTCTCGTCTATGTCCGGGGGTGGTATGCCGGCATTCACAGGTCTAGAGTCTACATAACTCGAGACTGAGTCCCTGTGAATGCCGTTCAGGGCCTGTCGGTAAGCTGTCGGGTCCAGAGGTTGCTTAATGAACCTCTGGACTTCGTCCGTCAGTTCATATAGATGCCTCATGACGTGCCTAGGCGAGGGCTCCTCTGCAAGCAGCTGTCTGCTTGGGTGGCCACTTCTGTGGCTCCCGATCAGGAACTGCTTGCAGAGCATTATTTTGTGCTCCTTTACAGGGAGCATTTGCGCCTCGCCGTGCAGGTGGTGTTCAGGCGACATCAGGAGGCATCCTGTCGCTGTCCTGAGTGCGGTGTTTTGTACAGTCTGTAGCGTCGTCCACTGCGTCCTACTAGTCCCTGGCGACCACACTGGCGCTGCGTAGTTCAAAACCGGCCGGCCTATTGCCTTGTATGTTGCCAGCAACGTTTCTTTGTATTTGCCCCAAGTACTGCCGGCTAGCGACTTGAGGACCTTGTTGCCGCTCTGTACTTTATTGACAATAGCGGTTGAGTGCGCAGAGAAGGAGAGCAGGTTGTCGAATGTTACTCCGAATATTTTGGGGTTATTCACCGTCGGAATTGGTGTGTCATCGACGTGAATCCCCAGCGGTAGCCTGACCTCCTTCGTCCAGGTTGTGAACAGGGTCGCGGAGGATTTCGTAGGGGAGAGGGCTAGACACTTTGCAGTGAAGAAGCGAGAAAGTTCGGAGAGATACCCGTTTACTTTCGAACACAGGTCATCAATTCCATTCCCACCATTTTTTTTGGTGATGCAGTCTAATGTACACATATAGATAATTAAATAAATACATACATACTTATGTTCATGCTTATATACATACAATAAATGAAAAATTATGCGTTATTCAGTATTACTTGAATCATGAATGAAAATTTATTCTTTATTCGAAATTACTTGAATGATGAATAAAAATTTATTCGTTATTTGAAATTACCTGAATGATGAATAAAAATTTATTCGTTATTTGAAATTACTTCAATGAAGAATAAAAATTTATTCGTCATTCTAAATTACTTGAGTGATGAATAAAAATTTATTCGTTATTTGAAATTATTTGAATGATGAATAAAAATTTATTCATCATCCGAAAGTGCTTGAATGAAGAATAAAAATTTATTCTTTATTTGCAATTACTGGAATGATGAATAAAAATTAATTACATGAAAATTTACCATACTCGTCGAGGAGCCATTTCGAACTTTAGCATTATTTCTTCGGGATTATTTAAATTTTCATTTACATTAAATTTTTAAAATTAATGCATTAATTTTTTTACATTAACATTAAAATGCTATGCATTAAAAGATTAATGCATTTTTTACAACTCTGATACACTGAATTTAAGAAAAGTCGCCTAACTTCGATAATATTTATGCGGTTACAATAAAAGAGGTATCAGTTTATTTGAAAATAGATTTTATTTTAGATAGCAGTCCATATTTTGAAATTGTAGAAATTACCGATGGTCAAAATTAAAAAAATGAATGGGTCTTTTTTTAATTTACCCGATAAAAAATCCCAACAAGTCTAGTCCGACAATAGATTATTATATGCCATTTTAAAGGCCTATATATCCTCTTCTCAGATCATATTCGATCATTGAAATCGAATCAAAAATAGCCATTCAAAAACTCATAAATCTACAAAATCCTATTTTCTGACCTAAATCGCGACCTCTAAATGACCTTGAAAAAATCTATAAAAATATAATTTCTCATAAAAATGAATAAAATTAGAGGATAGGATCTTGAAATTTCCAAGCAGTTTCGATGGGCACCCTAACATAGATGTATGTATACATATCGATGGTCCTCTAATAAGGACAGCTCAAAACTTAAAAATTAAAATCCTTACTACTGTTAAAAGCATTCTTACACGATATGTATTTCCATATGTAAATGCTACTTTTCTGATATATTCTGATATATGGTACATACGAGGCATGCAAAAATGCAAATGCATATCGTGTAAAAACCCTGCAAGTGGCTCATATCTCTAATCTTTAATGAAGTAAGTAGTTTTCGCTACAAATAAATTTAAAAAAAAACATCAAAAATAATTGGAAATAATAAAAATTATCAGAAAAATAATTGCATTAGTTTGTTTTAATTTTTGATTATTTCGAATTATTTTATTAATGGCAAAAAATCATGATTATTTTTTAATTATAATTAATTATTAATTGGTTACAAAGGGAAATTAAAATAATCATTGAAATTACCAATGACAAATAATCATAATGATTACTAGTAACCCTAATCGAAATTTAACAGCTCTGGTAACAACTTACCGTTTAGCTTGTCGATTAGGTGACTCCGGTGAGAGAAAAGCTGTATTGTAGTTCTTAGCTGGTTCTTGTATGGTACTCTGATGCCAAAGGTAGCTAATCGGTGAACTAGCCGGACTGTGTCTATCCACATTAATGTGCATAGCACTCACTGCCATCGCTTCGTTATTTAACTCGCATGCACCTGTTAATATTTCCACACTTTCGCCTAATCTCGTACGTAAATCCTCGATTTCTCGTTGTAAGCAATCGATTTCGTTGCACTTTTCATCGAACATTTTTCTCGCAGTCTCTCGTAAATCATTTGCCTCTGCCTCTAAATCTGCATATTGCTGCTCTAAAGCATCTTTTTCCTCTATGGGAGACAGTCTATCATCACGACTGAATTGTTCTTCATATTCGCGAACTTTTTCCACCAACTCAGTGAATTTTTTATCACTTTCCTGTTGTTCTTCTTCGTAAATTTGCCGTTCTCTTTCAAATAACTTCCGTTCTTCAGCTAGCTTCGATTGCCAATAATCCTCGCAATCCTCGTATGCGCGTTGCATTTGTTCCAAACTGGCTTCTAATTCTTTACAGCGTTCATCTGTTGAATCTCCTTCACTTGAAGTCCAACTACTTTTTTGTTTTGCTTCTATTTCTTTAGTATTATCTTCTTTTAAACTCCGAGGTGACTCTGAATCAAGCAACTCAGAGTTGAGTGCCATCCACTCACCGCTGGTATCACTGGTCTCACTGCCCGTTGTGTCTGTACATTTCCGCACCTTACCCAATCGAGGGCTTTCTTCTGTGATATGTGATTTACTGGGAGAGTCACCGCGGCGCTTAGTAGCAGTCAAATTAGCTCCCAGCTCAGCATCATCTAAAACAGCACAGGGAACAACTATCGCTGTAGACGTCTTCGTGTTACTTACAGGTCGGATTTTTTTGTTCTTCGATTTTACACGCAATAGCTCTAAATTAATTGACTCGATTTCAGCGATTAGCTCATCGGTCTTATCTCGTAAATTTTTGTTTTCAATTTGCAATTCTGACATTTTTTCTACCAATTGGGCTACATTTCCGTCTTCATCACTTCTCTGGTCATTTCTAATATCACTAACTTCTTTACTTCTAACCTTTTTTAATTCTGCTACATGTAGATTTAGTTGTACATTCTTTTCGAGTAGTTCGGTGACTTGTTTCTGCATTTTTTTTTGCTCACATTCTAAATCGCAATTTTCTTTTCGTACTAGTTCCAGCTCTGTCCTATACTTAATTTCTTCTTGCTCAAGTTGCTTGATTTTTGCTTCAAGACGAGACGTAAAATTACTCCAATTTTCCCGATCGTTAGCCATTCGTGTTGACAATTCACGGATCAAAGTCGCATGCCTTTGCTCCATGACGCGTATCTGCATAAAACAATTGTAGTTGATTTTGAAAGGTAATTATAAAGGTATTATTTTTACCTCTTTTTTCGCGGAATCTTCCAAAGATGTTTGCCGCTCATCGACTTCAGTAACTAGTAAGGATAATCGATGATTCGCGTCTTTATTGCTGGTCTGTAACTTTTTATTTTCATCATACAATTGGCATACTGTTTGACGTAAACTCGTTACTTCTGATATCTGCATAGCCATATAGGCACGAACTAATGCCAGCTGTGTATCATCCTCTAAACCACGTAGTTCTTCTTCTAAAACTTTATTCAACTGGGTTACATCTACTTCTTCATCATCGAATCCGAGTGCGAGCAAAATGCCCCTCCCATTAGCAATTTGCGCTCGTCCAAATATATCTAATATTCTGTTGGCAGGCAGGATTTTTGATTCTGTAGAAATTGGCGGATCTAAAAGTAAAAGTAAGCAATTATCTTCTGTACTTTGTATTCAATATGCTACTCAATGATTCAACACTACCACTTAGGGCTTGTTTTTGTTGATGTTTGTCCCAAATCGATAACGACACCGTATCGTTTCCAAGTTGACTTTTTTTTATGATTGAAGCAAAGTTTCGGTGAGTAGGTAAAGATGAACAACGCTTAAGCTTAATATCATCATTCATTTTAGGAGGTCGTCGCCTTCCCTTATTAGGAATGTCAGTTTGTGAAGAAGAACGCTGCACCTACGCATCGAAACAAGTTATACGATTTCAATGTTTTAAAGAGATATACATATATACTTACTGATGAAATACCGTGGTGCAAATTTACATCGCATAGTCTATGATCATGTTGATGAACATCATCTTCAGAATCTGTCAGCGATGTATTTTGAACTGTGGGTCGCGAGCGTCGACCATATTTTTTTGTCCCCATCACTAGCTTTGGTGAAACTTCTCGATCGGATGCTTGGCAGTCACTATCCAACGATTTAGTTCCTTCGGTCACATCACATATGACTAGAGTTTGCTCTGTTTAAGGATTTTATTAATGACTCATTAGCACAAAAGGATTTTATACTAAACATGTCATAGAATTGTTACCTAAAATATTTGCTAGAACTTCGACACAAGTCTCATCGAAGTTCGTCCTTTTTTTTTTGTAAAAGAAGAGTGTACCCATTACATAAACTATTTTCTTTAAATATTTGAAAACTACGTTTAATTTTTATTCGCAAAAGCACTCAGATTTTTAAGCATTAAGTACTCGAACTGAATATTTCGAACAAGCGCTACGCTATTTATTTGTTTTCAACCTGGTTCTTTTCAGGTAGGCTCAAGTGATTTGCCTGTGTTTACATATTTATTACGATAAAACGCGTTAGCATTTCTAAGAAGCTCACAAAAGATAAGATACAAAACAAGATAAAAAGGATAATTTCGGAGGAACATGCATATGTATATATGTGTATAGAAGCAAATGTAAGTTGTTTTTTTACTACGGTCACAAGCAGTGAATATCTTCGTAAGTATGTTACATGAGATGCTCTACCTAGAAATAACAAAACTTAGAGATGTTCATTTACCTTGAAATAAGTTCTTTTATTTAAGATTTCACACAGTATCATTCGGATTTGGCAACGAGCGTGCGTGGGTCGTGCGCGTAGGGACACGATATCGAACCGAAAGTATCGATATGGTACTCATTTAAAGTATCGCTTTAAAAATATCGGGTACCCATTAAAATCGGAATAAAAAGACTCGATATTCCAAATATCGATACCAAAATCCAAAAAATGTATCTGAATATAGGTTTCGCATATAGGCCGCTGGGGTGTAATGGTTAGAAGTCCGCAACCCTTGAAAATGAAAAACAGCTTCCCATAAAATACAATCGCCGTTCAGAGTCGACATAAAACTGTAGGCACCCCCTTTGTGCCACAACATTAGGGCCCACGCGACAAATCGGAGGAGAAGTTCGGCCAAACACTAACATATTGTGTAAGCGCCGGACTTTATTAATATTACAACACGTAGAGATTGAGGTGTTGACTTAAACATTAATTACCGTTTAAAAATGTTCGTATTTAAATCAAGCGAAAAGTCTTAACCAAATGGATTTTCCATTATACATACACTACGTACATATAATGGAAATATTAAATTCAAATACTCCCGTACTAAAATGAAGCATTTTTCACTACACGGATGGCGTTTTGCACGTCTCGGATGCTTTTCATATGTAATTAAGAAGGTATATGTATACAAAGCATGCACAGCGGTGACAACACATACACACATACATGGTACGACATAATGCACTAATCGCATTAATTAATTAATTTTTTTTCTTCTTAATTACGAAAAAGCATCTGTGCACTTCACAACCACATATTTTATAACGTATATACTCAAATTTAATACGAGTTGGGTTGGTGCTCTTTCATATGCGTATTTTTTTCAATTTAGCACGTTTTTTTTTTTTATTCTAAAATTTTTTCCCTCAGTGTTGGAATGTGTGTTTATGACATTCGATACGATACTAGGGTTCTGATACTCGATTCCAAAAGATATCGTTTTAAAACTATCGAGTAGAAAATATCGGTATCGAATGCCATAAGTATCGATATGGTATCGTATCGTATCGAAATTCGTGTCCCTACGTGCGCGACCTCTTGTGGAATACCATGATTTGTGCGAGTACAGAGCAGTAGTTTTAACAATTTTCTCTTTGGCTTTTTGTGTTTCGGCGTGTAATACTATGCAAAATTAAAGCATGTTATGACGAAGGAATCTGGGCAAGCAAAAGGGTTTGTGAGTAATCTTGACAAATCTTCCTCTTTTATTTTGTGGTAATACATATTTAAAAAAGAACTTTAAGTTGGCTGTTAAAAAAAGATAAAACTGCCGATAACGGCGGTTAAGTTGAGAAGCAAAATAGCGTCGCCGACTCCATGGTCGGTGGTGTCTATTGAAGATGAAAATGATGCGATTAATTCTAAAAAAACCCAAAAATCATTAAAGAAGATATTGCCTCAGGATTTTATGAGCTTTCTTCTAGTGGAGGTCTAATAAAATGTAAAAAAGCACAGTGAAAAGATAACGGTAGAGCAAAACAGTAACATGGTGATTGGGATCAACTTGTCAAATAACGTTAAATTACAGGCATCTAAATTGATGCAGCGGGGAATGACCAATCAAAGTTTAAGCTATATGACCTACATGCATCCAAACTGCTTGAACCCTCACTTATTTTTCATGCAAATTAAGTAATTTTTATGGAGTGTGAAACAAAGTGTTTTGTGATATACAAAATTTTACTTTTAGGAAGTTTACAGCCTCATTCTGTATCACGAACGATAGACAACACGAACGATTCGTCTGCAGAGGAATGCTTCAAAAATTAGTCCGGCGGCATCATTTTAACCTGTTTAAACGCTACCGATACCATTGCAACGTAATGTATGAAAAGCAAGAGGAAGACGACCGATAGTTTAAAATCGCAATCAGAGAGGTGGTCGTCTGCAGACGAATCGTTCGTTTTGCCTATCGTTCGTGATACAGAATAAGGCCCTTAATTTTGTGAATTTGGTCCAAGTTCCATTTACGTATAAATACTTCTTTCTTGCTTACAATATTTGTAAAATGAAGAATGTAATTTAATAACTTAACATCTTTTTTAACGACAATTTTGCTTAAAATACTTTAAATTGCAAACTCAATTTTGCGTTTTCCTTTTGCGAATCTTTCTATTATTCTTTCAGTGTCAATTTCAATATCTAACTGCCTTATTGTGTATGTCCAGATTGGGCGATTTAGCGCCAATTTGGCGATTTTTTTTTGGATAACTGCGCGATTTATGGCGATTTTTTCCCTTCAAGTCAATTTTTTGTGCGCTATCATGTAAATACGTCGAAACGCGTGATAAGTAGGTTATGGAGTTAGAGCTTTAATTTGCATGTGGCACCAATTTTTATTGTTATAGATTTTGTTGTAGCATATCGAACATTTGCCACCATTTGTGACAACTCCCGCTGAATGTGAAATTTGCAATTTCATTTGTGCAAATAGCTGATCACGCCTTATTATACCTTTTATTTTATTTTTAGCGCCGAGCGCTTAAAAGCGG